AATTACAAAAAAATTATAATTAAAAACTAAAAATAAAATACTTTGAGATGTCAAATCTATTATCAATCGGTGAGTAGCTCTCTTGATAAAATATGAACGGTTGGTTGATAGGGGGAAGCTAGAACTCTTATGTTGTATAGGGAACTTTTCCATGTATTATCCATGTGCCTGGAAGACTATCTTAAAATTGAGAAATGACTATCCAAAAGTAAGATCGAGCCAAGCCTATTTTATTCTTGAATGATCAATTCAAATACTTTCCTTTTTCAAAAACTTATTATGTAATTCTAAAGATTCAAAATTTTAGACTTAAAGTATCCTCCTATGCAGCTGTTTTGGAGCAAGTGTGGAGCACGTTATAGGCGCCAGCTTTAGCATTTATTATAGAAATTCTGTTAAACGGACCATTAGAGAAGCCACTTTCATTCCAAAATTTCGATCGACTTAAAAAGAAAAAAAAGGGAATTTTTTTTGAAAAAAAAAAAAACCTAAAACGACACTTTTTATGCAACTTACCCCGAATCTAATTTTTTCTCACTTTTTTCCCCAAAATATACTTTTTATAAAAAAAAATCCAACCAAAATAAACAATAAAAAATTGCTTAAACTACCCTCCCTTACTTTTACCTTACCCACGCCTCTCACCTCTATCTCACCAAAACAGGGGGTTCCAGTACTGTGTAAGTGCAGTCCGCAATAGTGCTCCAGCATTGTGTAAATTTCGGTCCAATAGTAAGGCTTCGACACTATGTAAAGTGCGGTCTGGCAGTAGCGATCTGGCACTGTGTAAAGTGTGGTCCGACAGTAGGGCTCCAACACTATATGAAATCCGGTCTGGCAGTAGCGCTTAAGTACTGTGTAAAGTGTTGTCCGACAATTGAAAAGGGCAGTCCGGCAGTTGCAAACGGCGGTCGGGCAGATGCAAAGGGCGGTCCGGCACTTGTGCGCTCCGGCAATGTGATGGTAAACTTTGTCCATGTGCTATTGGGTCCAAAAGTCAATGTCAAATTTATCCAAAATGATTCTTATGTACGGGAAGGGCATTTTAGTTTAAAAAAATGAACGTTTTCCCTTTGGGGGTATTTGCATAGAAAGTTTGTTTTGGGGAAAAAACTGAGAGAAAAAATTAGGTTGGGGTAAGTTGCATAGAAAGTGTGGTCTTGAGGTATTTTTTTTTTTTTTGTAATTTTTCCAAAAAAGAAAATACGAAATGGGTCAATTTTGGTCAGAAACTACATGGAAGATCAGTCAACCACATGTTTTTAATTTTTTTTTTTTCAAAATTACCCCGCTGTCCCATGATGCATCCTCTGACCGCTTTTTAATTTTTTTAAAAAACATATTTTGAAATAGGGTTGTGCCCCAAGTTTTAGGGAGTGCCCAGTCAATTCAAGGAGGGATCCGAGATTCCTATCCTCGAACAATCCATTTCTTCATTACTAAATGAGAGTATGAGCGGTCTAAGGATGGGAACCTCGGAGCCCTCCAGAACTGAGTTTTGTTCATTAGCTCACTCAATTTAGGGAGTGGTCCAGGGTCTTATCTTTAGACCTCCCATTTCTTCACTCTTAAGTAAAGGCCGTGTGAGGATGGCATCCTAAGACAATTGAGTAATGTCCTAAAACTTGGGGTACAACCCTAATTCGAAAAACGTTTTGAGTAAAAAATAAATAGGGGTTGGACAATAGCATCTTTGGACAAAAAAAAAACAATTTAAAAAAATAAAAAAATTGAGGATTAACCGACCCTCCTCATAATTTTTGTCCAAAATTAGCTCATTTAGTATATCCGTACCATAATTTTCGCCCAAAATCAGCTCAATTTGTATTTCCGTATGTATATTACTCTTCAAAGTTCAAATAAATACTTGCATGTTCACTAGATAAACTTGGGCAAAGTTCCATAAAACAGCGTAAAAATATCGGCGAAATTTCGTCGCTAGTGATAGTGAAAGGACAGACTTTAGCAGCATGGGTTGCGGGATTAAGCGTACACGTGTCATCTCTTCATTCACTGGATTCTTGGAGCCGACCAATTTCTTCACGCTTCAAAATTCCTTAGAAAACAATTTTCTTCTTATCAATCTCTTTGTATGTTTTTTTTTTTCTTTTTCATTTGAATTCTTCTATAAATTAGTACGCAAGTTTATAACCAGGCAACAGAGAGATTAAATGAAAGAAAGCAAGAATGGAGAAGACCTGGTTTTGTTTCATCATCTTCTGTATTGATCTCCTCCTATGTGAAGCTTCTTCATATGTGCGACCACCACCTCGCCCTATTATCCATACACAACACAGGCATAGTGAGTCGCATCCTCAACAGGTAAGAAGATTACATGAAAATTTCGACGAAAACATCAACTGAGTTTTGGATTTTTCCATGAAGCGTTTGTGGTTTCAATGGCGGAGATCTGATTTTGGGTTTAGACAGATATTGTGTCGAAGTTTAGGAGAAAAGAAAACCAGCCCTGAGTTTTTTGGTTTTATTTTTTGCTTTTTTGTGACTGAAATTTAGAATGCTTCTTGGAATATACTACATCAAAAGCTCCCTTCAAGCGTCGAGATTATTATCTAGTATCGATTTATTGAATATGGTCTCTCTCTCTACATTTTCTTTCAAGCATGCTTCTACTGTTTTACTCTATGGGAAATACCGTGTGCCATACTCCATGATTACTTAAAAAATAGCAAGAAAAATTAAACCAAAAACATTGAGATTATTATTGATTATCGATGTGAACAGACATGACAACTACAACAGAAATAATATCTGGATATTAAAATCTTGCACAATCGATTTATTGAATATGGTCTCTCTCTAGGTGCATGTTTCTCTGGCAGGAAAAGATGGTGCAAGAATATCGTGGGTGACTGAGTCATCTCATGTGGCTTCAATGGTTGAGTACGGGACATCAGCAGGCAAATATGTTAATTCAGCAAAGGGAGACACCACATCCTACCACTACTTCTTCTATTCCTCACCCAAGATCCACCACGTCAAAATCGGACCGTTGGATCCAGACACCATTTACTACTATCGTTGTGGTGGTACCGGCCCTGAATTCACTTTCAAGACACCACCACCTGCTTTCCCTGTCGTCTTCGCCGTTGCAGGTAAGAAGTCCATCGTCTCTTTCTCGATGTAAATGAATCAAAATTTACCTATTTCTCAAGTCGCCTCATTTCTACATGGACTCATCGAAACTGTGTCCTTTTCTTTCTTTCTTTTTTTCATTTTTTTTGGTTTGTTTTATGGGGGAATCTTAGTTGCTATCGGTGTTCGACTACTTTGGCGGGCCAACCTATACTAGCCCGAGTAACTCTAGTGAGCCTAAGTGTTCCGCGCTTGGTGGTCAAGCTCGGGATCTTAGGAAACAATTTTAAATATATATATCTTTATATATAAATTTTAAAAGTAAGAAATTTTATTTGTAATATTTTGTTGTTTATATTTTCTATCATTTTGGCGAAAATTGAGAAGTTCTTTTTGGCCTAATACTTATTTTTATATTTTTATATTTTTGGATTATTTTTAAAATAGCCCCAATCACAAATTGATTTTTTTTTTAGAATCCAGTTTTTACTATTTTTTAACCTCTTTTAGATGTGTTTTGTTTAACTTTATAATTAAACATATTTTTTTTTATTTTTTAAAACACTTTCTAGCCTAGGACCTCCCGTGCCGACTCGTGCTTTCCTACACTGCTTGCTATTTGCAGTAAAATTTGGCCCTTTTTTTTTTTTTTTTTTTTCAAGTTTTTGGAGTTTGGTGGTTTTTTTTTTTTTTTTGCTTTTTTGTCCTTGACATTGCGTATGTGAATCACTTGCGTGATTTTAAATTTTCAGTGCAAGAAAAATACGAAATAAGACGAATTATATTATTACTTAATTACTTTAACGAACTTAACTGAACTCCTCACCAAGTAAATTATTTTTTTTGTGCTCACAATCACTTTATTTTTAACCACTTAAAAAAAAGCATATCTTAGGAAAACGCAAACGCAGTTGTCACGCCAAAGGCTCTAGTTGTTATCACGTTATAGATGCTTTTTTCTGTTACGTAAATGCCATACTTTGTTTGTTTGTGAATTCCCTTTTTACAATTTAGGGTGGGGGTTTTATTAGGTGCCTACTTTATTCCATTGAAGTAAGGTACACTCTAAAAACATGCCGAAAGATGCAGTTTAGATGTTCTCGACAAAGTAGGAGTCTATATTTTTTTTCTGTTGGATATTTCGTTTATGTAATCTTGTGTTTTTGTTTGAAATCTTGTATTTTACATTTGAATCAATGATAAGTTGTACGTTACCGTTAACAAACAAAAAAAGTATTACGATAGCGTAAATATTTATTGTGACCTCTAATTACAAAATTGTTAGATCTAAAAATGATGTAAATCAAGTAGATCTAGAAGCAATTAAAAATTTTGAAACTTGTGGTGTGTCTAGACAAAACGTCACAAGATATACTATTTTCATTAATTGATTTTTTTCTTTTTTTAACATCCATACATCTCGAAGTTGAAAGGATGAATTTGAAGGTTTTGTATCATCAGGACAACTTTTTCCAATGGGTCTTTGGTGTGCAACTTATTTCAATAATACAAGGCTGACGCCTTATATAAACTTTTTTCTACCATTTATACCTCCTCTACCATGATTAAGTTATATTGCACTAAAACACTCAAGCATATGAAAAGATTGTTTCTTTAACATTCATTGCAATGCATTTCAAGTCTAACTTGATTCGAGAAAGGGGCTGGGATTATAGTGGTGGCAACCCCACAACCTAATCACCACGATGTGGTTTTTGCTCCCACTAACACCACCTTACTAACATTTTCAAAAAACTAGTTTTTAAACTATTTAAAAAATGGATGGTTTATAATTCGGCTATCACACATCTTTCGGTTAATTGTTCTGCTCTATGTTATTTTTAACATGCAATTCGGTTAATTGTTTTATTGTTCTACTCTTTTGTTATTTTTAACACGCAATGAGGATATGAGCCAATTAGCCTGTGGTTATTGTTAAAAAGAGAAAATATATACTTAAGAGATGATGTTTTAATTTTATTTTAAAAATCCATAAAAATACATTTGATAAGGTGGAATAATTAAATACCGGTAAAAGTTTAAATAATTTAAGAATCAGTTATATTTTCATCAAATTCTATTCACATTAAAAAATCACTTGACTGGATCCGTGACGAAATTTGCAAACTTAAAAGGCATGGTCCCCAGCTTGCACAAAACGACATGAAATCCTTTGCTACTTCTCACATGTTAAAAACCATGGTCCCCGATGCTTTCAATTTTGATTCAGTTTCTGTACGTACGGAAATCAACATGCGTCGTTCCCTTCATAAAGTATCCAAATGATTTCATGCTCCCGCAGGAAAAAACTATCTATTTGCTCCCTCAGGCAAAAATTATATTAGAGATATTTTTAGGACTCAAAAAATTGGGGATGTATCCACTGTAACCTAGAGACCAATTCCAAAAAAGGAAAAATATATGAGTCCACAGACCCAGCACATTAATAATTTATTTTTTAAATAGAATTTGGTTTTATTTTTTAAGAAATATATAATTTGATTCGATATTATGTTCGGCACTTCAAGTGTTGTACCCATTATTTGTACCCATTATTTAGAGTGAAAAGTGAGTTTTGCATTTTAAGTATCAAACTCCTCTTTCATTAAAAAAATTTCGATCATAATAGTTTGGTAAATCAACTTTGAACCCAAATCACACTTAACTCTTCACATATTATAAATGTATGCTATGCTCTCAGGAGCATACTATACACATGCTCCCTTGGGTAAAGAAACTACCTAGGAAGAGTTTTTAGTGTGAAAATTTGGGATTCACTTAAAGACAGCAAATGATAATTTGAAAAAAAAAAAAGGATTTAGAGATCTTAACACTTGGATCTAGTTATCCAAAAATATGATAGTTTGCATCCAATTTTTGGACGTTAATATTTTTAGGCATATGATTTTTTATTTTATTTTTTTTAAAAAAAGAGATCGTCTACGAAAAGATTATTTATCTTTTGTACTGGAGGTCACAATCATTCATGTCCCTTAAATTTGAAATGGGTAGTTGTAAGAGTTTAGTTGAATAGACACAAAGTTCCAAAAACGAGTTCACAGACTTCATGACTCACTCCAAGCCATTCAATTTAACATCTAATGATTAAAAATACTTGATATTTCTATGTATAAAAGATAAATGACCCTTTTATCGACAATCCCAAAAAATTTGGTTTCCTACTCAACAACAATAAAGTAGGGCAAATTACCATGCATCTCTAAAACATTCTCTGTCTCTCTGCTATTCTCAATTTAAGGTGACCTGGGACAAACGGAATGGACCTCATCAACACTAGAACACGTGAAGCGAACAGACTACGATGTCTTGCTCCTACCAGGCGACCTCTCCTATGCAGATGGCCAACAACCGCTTTGGGATTCATTCGGCCGCTTTGTCGAGCCACTCGCGAGCTCCCGACCCTGGATGGTTACCCAGGGCAACCACGAGATCGAATCCATTCCTATCCCTTTCCTCAACCTCCAGGCCTTCAAGGCCTACAACTCAAGATGGCTCATGCCATTTCAAGAGAGTGGCTCCAACTCCAATTTGTACTACTCATTTGAAGTCTCAGGTGTTCATGTTCTTATGTTGGGTTCTTACACTGACTTCAATCAAGGATCAGCTCAGTATCAATGGCTTCGATCTGATTTGGCTAAGGTTGATAGGAAGAGGACGCCATGGCTCATTGCATTGATTCATGCTCCATGGTATAGTACAAATGTGGCCCATCAAGGGGAAGGGGAGAGCATGAGGAAAGCCATGGAGAGTTTGCTCTTTGAAGCAAGGGTTGATGTGGTCTTTGCAGGGCACGTCCACTCGTACGAGCGTTTTGTGAGTTCTCTCTCTCCCAAAAAACCATCAAACACTTTAGGGGTGGCAATAGTTTCGGTCGGGTCTGAGTACGGTTGGGATCCGGAATCGGACCCAATCAGAACTGAATTCACCGGACACAGATCAAGACCCGAAAATATCATGTGGGACCTGGACCCAGATCCGGACCTGACCCGCCGGGTCCAATTTTTGGACTCATACCCAGAACCGCATCAGGTCTACCCTTGGGGTCATGGGTCGGATTCGGGTTACCTGAGGGGGCAAGCTTATAGTGTGCTCCTACGAGAGTATACTATACACTAATTTTATCTTTTATGTGAAAAAGTCTACAAGGCTGCACTTTGAAAGCACTAACAAATTTTTTTTGCGTTTTGGTACTTGAAAACCCTCAATTTGAACATCTTTCACCTTAAATTATGGATCTAAGTAAAGGTAAAAAGAATTCCAAACCTTAAAGCCAGTGTATATTGCAATGGGCAAGCTTTGTGTGCTTCTCCTACAACGTAAAATTTATATACTTCCTTTTATCCAACCGTATATTTTGAATGAAGAGCTAAGATTGTCCCAATCATAATGTCACATCTCTACACTATTTTATTTTTTATTTTTTTTGTATAAACAAATTGACACCAAATTTTATACATCCAATCCTCTATTAAACTCGCACTAGCCAAAAAATTTTAAAAAAATATTTTCGATAAAATAACGTGACCAAAATACCGTTGAAAGTTTCAAGGGGTATTTTGCCCATTATATTTTATTTGAAAACTTATTTTTAATATTTTTTATAGGTGCGCTCCAATGAGAAGATGACACGTACAGAATTTCATATTCATACAATTTGTATAAAAAAACTAAAAATAAAATACTTTGAAATGTCGGATCTAAGATCAAGCGGTGAGTGGCTCTCTTGATCAAAATTGGACGGCTGGATGGTAGGGGAAGCATAGATCTTCTATGTTGTAGAAAAAATATATGAACCTTTTCTTATTGGAATATATTTTTTAAACCGTCAATTTTCAAGTGCTCAAGGATCCAAACTTGCACAAGATTTTCAGCTTTAAATTTTACAATCAGTCCCAAAAACATAACTTTATTGCACCATAGGGATTTCCAGTACCACAATTATAGATTTAGGCAATACCTTACTTTTAAAGTATAGCCTAGACCTTATGCTGACCAAACACTTTCTTTTGTAGTATGCTATAGAGGCCCAATAGGAAAGTAAAATGACGAAACTATCCTTAGATCTTATAAAAAAAAGGTAAGCCTCACGTCAAAACCTAGTCTAGAATCTACTTCCACTACTTATTTTAAAATTGGTAGAAAAGGGTACAAATAACACTAATATGTGAACACTTAATAGACAAAATGTGTTATAACATACCTTTGTTTAGGGTTTTGAATTTTTTTTTTTTTTTTCTCATCTATAAATGGCTAAAATCGAGATGATCAATTTGAAAGTTTCTACTACCAAAACTGCAAATTTTAGTGAGATTTGATACGCGGTTGTACTATTTTTTTATAATGGCTCCTCATAAGTCAATTGCTAATTAGAAAGAGTGTACAAGGTGACTAACATTCATGGTTTCTACTCAGACGAGGGTCAGCAACAATGAGGCTAATCCTTGTGGTCCTGTACATATTACAATTGGGGACGGAGGCAACCGCGAGGGGCTTGCTTTGAGGTAATTAGGATTTAATCTAGGGCTGGTATAGTATGCTCCATCGGGAGCGTAGTTTATTTTTCAAAGGACTAACAAAGGAGGATTTTTTCAATCCGGAACCACTTAAGAATTAATAGATGATTATTCTTAAAAAAAAAATTTAAAATTTCAGTTTTTTAATCCCACAATCTAAAACTTGTAAAGAGGTCTCTATTAAATCTCGAGGCATTTTTTTTTTTCGAGTGCAAAGAGGATATAATTAGAAAAACAAAATAATATTGAGATTAGTCTATGGGTTGAAGAGGTTATTTCCCCAAAATTTGGGTTCCTAAAATTTAATTATGGGTAGGAGTTTTACCTGAGAGAGTAGATGCTCATTCTACTCTCGAGGGAGTAGAATATCTTTTGACTTTAATCATTTGTTTCACACATTCATTTTCACACTTTCGGCAGAATCTAAAACTTGAAATAGCAAGCAAATGTTTGTCCAAACTTCAAAAAGTTAAATATTATGCTAAAGAATTGAAGACTTCATTAAGATTATGAGTTCTTGGGGGTGGGAATGGGTCGGGGCCGAAATTAGACCCGAATCCACGTCGGTTATAAGTGAATTGGACTAGGACCCAATCCACCAGGTTAGGTGTCGGTCTATAAATAAAAACACATAAAAAAAATATTTTAGATATTTTATAATATATAGTTAATATTACTTAAATGTATTTAATACTAATATATATTGAATTAGATCTGACCAGGACCCAACCCCTACCTAATAGGATCCAAGTTAAACCCGGACCCAAACTACGAGTCAAGGTCAAATAGAACTAGACCCGAGATATCCTTTTTCTTTGTAATCCCTTCCAATTTATGGTCACTTAAGTTATAATGTTATAAATAAATAAATAAAAGAAAAAGTCTATAAAAGGTTTCAACCTTAAATTGTAGAATTATGGATGCACCTCAAAAATCTATAAGGTTATGTTTATGTTGAAAAATCATCTAATTGATCATCTTGACATTAAGATGTATGAATGTGAAAAAAAAAGAAATTGAGTATTAGAAATAATGCATCTTGCAACACATTATCTAGACCGTCCATTTTCAAAAAAATTTGTATGTTTATAGATCTACTTGATTTTAACTATTTTTAGAGTTTAAAAGTTTCTAATTAGATATAAAAATAGATTTTAACATAATCTTAAAAATATTTTAAAACAAAATTATATATTATGATAAAATTTGGAGGTGCTCCTCAATTGGATTGTTTAAGGTTGCAACCTTATAATAACCACACCCATAAATAAATAACAAAGTTATATTATCATATTGACCCCTTTGCTTTGTTTGTCTCTGATGAAGCTTCAAGAAGCCTGTTTCTTCTCTCTCGATGTTTCGTGAAGCAAGCTTTGGGCACGGGATGCTCACCATGTTCAACAACACCGATGCCCAATGGACTTGGCATAGGAACAACGAGTCAGAAGCCGTTGTGGCCGATCAAGTTTGGCTCGAGAGTCTCAGCTCGACCTGCGCTTGTGGACTCCAGCAACCGAGTCCTTCGATTCAAGAAGGCACTTCCCATGACGAGTTTTAGAAACGAATGGGCACCGATTTCAGAATTGTGGCCAAAATGGTCGTTGACCTTTTTTAGGAATTGACATAGTTAGCCTTGTGTTTTAATTGGAGGGGCGGTTTGTATAAAGGCAATGCTCTAAAACAATCAAAGTAAAGCACACCTTTAACTAGTATCGAGAAATGTGGTTTCAATATAAAAAATAATTGTGATAGCCTTAAAATATATTTTTATTTTTAATTATAAAATTTAAAGCTTAAAAAATAATGTAGATCGACATATATATGAAAACATTGAAAATTGACAGTCCATAAATGTATTACAAGGTAGTACTATTTCCAAAACTTGATACCCATTTTTTTCTCATGACCATACATCTTAAGGTCAAGATGATCAATTTGAGGATATTTTGAGATCAAAACCACCTCTTCTAGTAAAATTTTTGAGTTGCAATCTAATTTGATGGGTTAGAGCCTCCAATTATATAATCTTTTTTCTTAATTGAATGCCACAAAATTTTATAGGAATATTCTCAATTTTTTTAACCAAAGTTATAGTATTCGTCTCATTCTCGTAGCTCATCCCCTATTCCAGCTGATAACTCATGTGCACAATGAGCAACCATGCATAATAAAAAACACAAAAATAAAATCTCACGCGTACCCGAATCATGTGTGGACGTGCATACCAGAGTTAGAGAGACAATAATTTTTAATGTGTTACAAAACATACTAAAGTAGATGATAGACTTATGTCCACAATGCGGTGGTCATATCTCTCAATTCCCATAGTCATCCTCTCTTTTTGTTGTGGTCTATCACGCGGTTCTTGTAGTCACACAATACACACTCTCTCTCTTTTTTGACAATCAACTTAATTTTTTTTTGTCAAGTTTACCCCCCGGATCGCTTGATACTCTCTCTCTTACTGATGCACTACATGATGTCCTTCTCTCTCTAGGACGAGACTTACGGTTCTCTTACTCATAGCCTCATAGGCCTCACAATGCCTCATGCAACCCCACAAGTTGATGCCAAGGACCTCATGTGACTCCCATCACACGTGTGTGTATATAGGCCATTAAGACATAAGGACAAACGGTTAATCTTAATCCCATATGAATTACGATTTTGTTATATTAACCCAAACCTATAGATTATGGGCAAGCTTTTTATACTTATCTTAATGTATATAATTTATATGATTCTCCCTATCTAACTGTCAATTTTGAATAGATGACTGAGATGTCCCCAATGACAATTTCATGTCTCTATAATATTTTCCATTCCTCTCTTAAACTCGCATATGTAAAAAATATAAAAACAAATTCTCAATAAAATAAAATGACCAAAATGCCTTTAAAAGTTTCAGAGGTATTTTAGTTATTTTATTTTATCAAAATATTTCTTAATATTATTTTGCGAGTGTTCCCATTGAGATGATGGCACGTACTAAATTTCATATTCATATACTTTTTTTAAAAAAAATTAAAAATAAAATGCTCTAAAGCGTTAGATCTAGATCAAGCTGTCAGTGGCTCAATTGATCAACATTGCATGACTAGATGAGGGAATATATATCTTCCATACAGTAAGGGGAATATAGAAACCTTTCCCATTGATTATAGGAGAGGAAGTTTTATGAAAATACAAACAAATAATGGTGGACACTGAACAACGTTCACTCAAGACTGTACTCATGTGCAAGAAGGCAGCTCGGGCAAAATAATTCTAAGCTGAAAATCGCAATGGTAATCTCGCCTATTATTGCATAGAATAAGAGAGCTTACAGAGCACCAAAGCTGCCTCAAAATAGAGAGAGAAAATGGGCATGAATTTAGAGAGAGAAAGATGGTAGAGAATTATAGAGAGAAAGAATTGAGAGAGAAAGTGAGTGGGATAATTATGCAAAATGGGGAGGACAAACCCCTATTTATAGAGAGCGATGGACTCGCAGATAAATGACACTAATTTCACTTGGAGTAACAATTCATTCACGCATTTACAAATGTCTAAAATTGATAGGGTGCTTGTTATACAAGATTGGGAGTTGCATTTGCCAAAAGTTTCTATAAATGCCTTATCTCATATCACGTCGGACCATTGGCCTTTACTGTTAGACACTGAGGCACCCTATAGAGGTCCTATGCCTTTTTGTTTTGAACTCATGTGGTTGGAGGAACCTTCTTTAAAAGACATCGTAGCCTCAGTTTGGCATGATGAGACAATTGTTAGATGGCCTGGCTTTATCCTGTTGTGCAAACTAAAAAATCCTAAGACTAGGCTGAGATCCTAGAGCAAATTGACATTTGGCTCCTTGGCTGAGTCAATTAGCATTACCTCTGGGGCCATTGATATCCTTAATTCTCTTGAATAAAATACAGGAAGTATGTTTGAAGCTCAGTTTAATAGTAGTGGTACTCAAGAACAACCTGGCAGAGGCAGACTTTCTCAGTAAGGAAGAAGTTCTAGTTCCAACGCTCTCGATCCAAATGGGTGAAGGAGGGAGATAACAACACCAAATATTTCCCGGCTATTGCCAATGCCAAACACAGACAGAACTACCTGGGTGATTTATCAATTCTCGGGGTGGATAATGACAGCCTAGCTGCAATGGAGGATGCTATTGCCAATCACTTTTATGGTTCTTTTTCTTCTGAGCCCCGTCTTCCTTTCTCCCTAGAGGATTTTCCCTTCAAGCAAATTCCATCATTGGAAGCATCAGAGTTAGAAGGTGCCTTTTCTATAGAATAAGTGAGACATGTTGTTTTTGGCCTTCCTCAAGATAAATCTCTAACACCGAATGGTTATCCCTTGCCCATTTTCCAAGACTTCTTGGAAGTAGTTAAATCCGATTTACTTCATTGGTTTTAGCAATTTTATCGTGATGACTTTTATAAGCAATTCCATCAACTCCACCTTTATAGTCTTGATCCTTAAGAAGCCAATGGTGGAGTCTTTGCGGGATATTCAACCAATTAGCCTGCTTTCTACCCTTTATAAGATTCTATCCAAAGTTTTGGTTAATAGATTAAGGAAAGTGCTCCATTTTGTGGTAGAATGCCCTCAAACTGCTTTTATCAAAGACAGACAGATTATGGACGGTATTCTCAAGGTTCAGGAAGTTATTCATTCTGTGGCTCACTTAGAGTCTAAAGGTGTTTTATTGAAGTTGGACTTCGAAAAAGTGTATGATAAGGTTGAATGAGATTTTCTTACTGAGATCAAGAGGCACATGGGCATTGAATCTAAGTGGATAACTTGGATAAAAGGATGCCTGGTATCGACACATTTTGTCTATTCTTGTTAATGGTAAATTATGTGGTTACTTCTGGGCTCCTAGGGGCCTTAAGCAAGGAGACCCTCTCTCAACTTCTCCTAGGGGCCTTAAGCAAGGAGACCCTCTCTCAACTTTCTTTTATTCTTTAATAGGTAAGTTTTTCAGCATCATGATGTGGGTTACCAACAGTAGTAACTTAATTAAGGGACTGCCTACTTGCAGACAATACCCTGCTGCTTTTGGAAGGAGAGGATGATAACATTCGAAATTCTTGGGTTTTCCTTAAATGCTTAGAACAAATTTTTAGAGCCAGACTTAATATGAACAAGACTAGGTTGTTGGGTATCAACTGTGATGACGACGAATACTCTTTGGGCAAGATGGTTGGATTGTTTTGTTGATTCTTTCCCTACTATATACTTGGGTCTGCCTTTGTCTATTAATGGGTTTCCTAGAGCTTACTAGGACCCCCTCATTCAACGCTTTCATACTAAACTTGATGGTTGGAAATCTAGATTCCTCTCCTCTGATGGCATAATCACTTTAATTAGAGCTGTTATTGCTAACCTATCACTTTATTACCTTTCTCTCTTCAAAGCCCCGAAATGGGTTATCCTAAAATTGAAAAGTCTGAATTTCCTTTGGAGTGGAAGTCAAAATAAAGAAAAGATCCATCTGCTTTGCTACGACAGAGTTTGTTTGCCTTAAAAGGAAGGAGGGCTGGGTATTAGTAAAATTTCAGCAGTTAAAGAGGCGCTACTTACCAAATGGTGGTGGAAACTCTCTCGATAACAGGGCCAGCTTTTGGAACAGGTAGTTCTTGAGAAATATGGGAGGAATAAATTCTGGCCCATTGGTAGACAACCTCCATTAAGAATTCATATTTCTAAGGTTTGGAAAGGGATTCTCTCAGTTAGAACCCTATTTCTGGCATACTCCAAGGTTTTGGAGGGTAATGGTTCGTCGACAAGTTTCTGGCATAGTAAATGGTTATTAGATTATCCCCTCTCTCTTCCTCTTCCCCATATGTATAGAAGATCGATTTACAAATAGGCATCACTTCTTTCTCTGGTGTCTATTATTGAAAGTAGAAATACCTAGGATATATCTTTAGATATCAGAAGGTTAGTGCACAGGTTGAGCAGGAGTTCATCACCCTTCTGGGTCATCTTCATAGCTTTTCTATTTCCCCGCTAGACCAAATAAGATCATTTGGACTCTGGATCCTAAGGGAAATTTCTCAGTTTCCTCTCTCTGTGAAATTCTGACTCACGATAGATACATTGAGGTGAATATGGATGTCAACAGATTCTGGGCTTGTAAGCCCCCCCCAGAGTGCAAGCTTTCTGTTAGCTTGTTGGCCATTATAGGTCAATTGTAGAAAAGGGGGATAGTTGTTGTCTCTGGCTGCCCTTTTTGCAAGAAGGAATGGGAGACTTTAGATCACATTCTTCTTCACTACCCTTTCGCCTCAGAAGTCTAGTCTTGGATTAAGCAGATATCCTCTTCGTCCTGGGTTCCTCATATGGCAATCAATACTACATTGTATTAGATTTGGACCCCTATCTTCTCCAAATTTGGTCTCTTACTATGGAGATTTTTGTTGGCTGCAATTATTTGGGCTCTATGGAAAAAAATAAACCTTAGAACTTTTGAAGGTAGGTCTCGTGAGGTGGCCTCAATTATTCACTCAATCCAAGTATTGGTAACGACCTAGCCAAAAACTCTCTCTTTTTACTTCGGTGTCTCTGGATCAACTGTTCTTACATTTTTCTAACAGGCTTTTCTTCAAAAAGAAAAGATGCTCTCGATCGTCGGTTTAGAGTCTTCCCTAGGTAGGTTGGCTGAAACATAACTTTGATGGGAATGTTTTTCTTGAAGAGAGATGCGTAGGTTTTGGTGGA